TGTACGTGCGCAGGACCCTGGCGGGCGAGTTCGTGGTCACAAACTCTCACCTCATGGCCGATTTGGTCCGGCTGGGGCTCTGGAACGAGTCGCTGAAGGAGCAGATCATGGCCAACCGGGGGTCCATCCAGGCTATCCCTGAGATCCCGGACGACCTCAAGGAGCTGTACCGCACGGTGTGGGAGATCAAGCAGAAGGTCGTGATCGATTTCGCAGCCGATCGCGGGATCTTCATCGATCAGTCCCAGAGCTTGAATTTGTTCATGGCCAAGCCGACGCCTGCAAGCCTCTCCTCGGCGCTAGTCTACGGCCACAAGCTGGGCCTCAAGACAGGTGAACACGCATGGAGCGCAAACACGGAGGTTTCAGAGCTCTCCCCTGGGAGGAAATATTGGTGTTTCAAATTCTCAAATACTTTTGAAAGTTCCGCTCCATCTGCGCACGCGTGGGACGTGCAGTTGTTCACAACATCTTTTGTATTGTGTGAGGGATGTGCTGCGCGCATTGCGCGCAAACACGGAGGTTTCAGAGCTCTCCCCTAGGAGGAAATATCGGTGTTTCAAATTCTCAAATACTTTTGAAAGTTCCGCTCCATCTGCGCACGCGTGTGACGGCCTGCTAACTACAACGTCATTGTATTGTGCAAGGGATGTACTACTTGAGAACCCTGCCATCCACTACACCGACGGCGGTCACGGTTCCTGTTAAGAGGGCGAGAAAGGAGAAAGTAGTCGAAAAGCAAGACAAAAGTGCTGTCTGTACAGATGAGGTCTGTGTGAGCTGCTCCGCTTGAGGGGTTGGTGGAGTAGAAAGTGGCTCCAGTATAAGCTGATACAAACCAAACTTGTTGCATAACGAGCACGTATTTCGTTTCCGTTCGGTTGGTAAATGTTGCCAGACGCTACTGCTTTGGAGATACCGAGCGCTGACGGTGCGGCATCTGCATAGAGGTTGCTACATTGCTGAGTGAACTACGTTGTCATCTTGCTTCTTTGATCAAGTGTAAGTGAATCCTATTGATCACATCCAGAATGTCAAAGTCTTTAACATCAGGATTGAATCTTATCCAACTGCATCCAAGCGTGCGGTTTATGAAAGCCGTTCGTTCTGCATCGCGTGTCTTGTTGTATCCCTTGTGGTCCTTCTCGTCGCATTCAATTGTCAGATTGTATGCCACGAAGTAGAAGTCAAGATAGTAGTTGCCAACAGCATACTGTCTGCTAATTGTATGCCCCTTGAAGGCTTTGAAGAAGCAGCGTGCTGCATGCATTTCATGATAGTACGCCTTGAACCTTGGGTCTATTGGAATCCCCAAGGATCTGGCCACATCGATACTGTTCGGCAACCTTGAACGACATACGAGAAAATTTGCTCCTTCAGCTGTCGTGTATCGTGCACGAAGGTCGTTACCATTTCCTTTGGATCCAATGTTGACAGCCTTGATTAGCAAATCTGCAGGGATATGGGTGCTTGCCGCCTTCTTAAAGTTGGTGTATCCAAGACAACGTGCCAGATCATTTGCCTTGTAGTAAGTGACCCCTTGGAACTCCAGTTGAGCAACGGTCAAGAAGCTCTCTTTCGAAGCCATTTGCCCTGTTGTACGAGAGGTGTAGTCCCTAAGCTTCTGCACGAAGGAATCCCCATCAATTGTACGCTAAGCGGATATATGCATGGCGTGCAACTCTCTAAAGTATTGCAGAGACTGAAACACCGGTAGTCCTGCCACTTTTGCACGCTATCTCCTTCCCTGGTTCGAGAGCCCAGCCAGTGATGAGAGAAGTAATAAGAGAAGTGAAGGAGCGCATTGTGCTGCTTTGCATAGCAGCAATCAAAGGCTTCGTTGCTTAGGGCGACGCTTCACCATGATATTGCATAAGAAGCATGGAGGAGAAGAGAGAGGCCATCGTGCTGCTGCCGTCACAGCAGCCTCACGTGGCAAAGCTCTGGAATATCCTACGGCGTCATGCATTCGCTCTAGACTTTTCATCCTTGGGTTCGGGGAAGACATTCTCGAGCAGCAAGATCGCCCTTGAGCTCGAGATGCCCCACGTGGTCGTGATCTGCCCCGTTTCTGTCCAGCCAAAGTGGCAGGAGATGCACGAGAAGTATGGGGTGCCAATCAAGCACAACCTGAGCTACTGTGGGATCCGTTCGATGAAGGGGAAGCAGCCGAAGCACGGGCTTCTGACCCGAAGGGACTACACTGTGGCCGTCCCTCAGCCTCGCGGGGAGCCTCGGCGCGTGGAGAAGACCGACTTTGGGATCACCAACGCCTTCAGGTCGCTCCTGGCAGAGGGCGTTCTCCTGATTGCGGACGAGATGCAGCACCTCAAGAACGTGTCCTCGCAATTTGCCGCCTGCCAGACACTGATAAAGGCGATTAAGGAGTCGTGCGAGGCCGGGGGCCGGTCGAGAGTGCTTATGCTGTCGGGGAGCCCGATCGACAAGCAGGAGCAAGCCGTCACCCTGTTCCGTTCCCTGAACGTCATGCACCATGCGGAGCTGTGCAAGTTCAATCCGGGGCTCAGGCAGATGGAGCTGCGTGGCATCTCGGACATCATCGAGTTCTGCCGGAGCGTCGACCCCGTTGCCACCGATCGGATCCTCGCAGCAAAACGCTACTGGATGTGCTCAGAGTCCGTGATGCGTCCCATGTGCTACACCCTGTTCCAGGAAGTCGTCAAGCCGCACTTTTCCAGCGCGATGCCGCCCCCTGCCCCCGGCTGCACCCTGCACAAGACGAACGCTTTCTACCGGATTGACCACGAGGAGGATCGCAGGA